GGGCGCCCGGGGCACCAGGGAGAGGGGGGGTCGCTGCGCCCCCGCGGGAAGCGACGCGGCCGCCTTGATGCGCGGCCCCGGAAGGGCCCGGGTAGCTGGACGCTCCAAACGGCGTTACTGCAGATTCCCGCAGTCTGCGTGTCTCGTGTGAAGGGAATAGCAGCGCATCGAGGCCGCGCGATGCCTGCTCCAGCTCCCCGGCCCTGGCTGGGAACGCGCGTCCACAAGGCCCTGCCCGAGTCAGGGAAAGCCTGAGCCCGCCCCGGGCTCGGCAGCAGCACCACGCGCTGACCCGCGCCTGGGCGCGACCTCCCGTCGGATTTAACAAGTGCCACCTCGAATAGCGTGAACCCGCTTTGCGGCAGAACCGCGGGGCAAGCGAACAAAGAGCGGGCTCAACCCTCCCTAGGCCCGAGCTAGCAGCACAGCTCAGCCTGGGCGCTATTTAAAATAGATCTCCGGGGTGCGTGTATGGGTGGAGGGTAGTAATAGCGTCTACATTTTGTTATTCTAAGTCTGTCGTGGAGTGTACTTGATGAGATTGTCCGTGAGCATACAGATGGTGAGATTTTCGTGCTTCTGTGGCATACTGACATCTCAGGCTGTAAAAATAAATTCCCAGATCGCTGTAATACCTAGGAAGGAGAAAAATCCCGTCCACCTTACTGCTCAACATCGTGTTACTTCACGTTTAAGAGACATTGTAATACTGGATACACAAGTTAGAGTGAACAGAAAATACTGATTTAATGGATATACAATATACAGGAAGAAATAAGATAGCCTCTGTGCCCTTTTCTAAGCTTTTGCACGCGTGTGTGTGTTTGTGCTTCCTAATGTAGCGATATGGGGAATGGAGATGAAATCTTGCACTTTTTTTGCTATTACCTACAAAGCTTTTGCTAAAATTGTCTACACAATGATGAAGTTGACTGTTTCTTTTCTGGGGGAGGGGGGGAAGCTATTTATTCATTTCGCGTAATTTTCCCAATTGTTGAGAAATTATTAATCTACTACGATTATCTATGCCGCCAAGGAAAGACGTGTATTGGCACTGAGGGAGAAGGCTGAGATATTTTCTTGATTTTCATAGTCAAGTTTCGCCTGCCTAAGGAGGCATAGCGTGGAGTGGTCTGAACACCAGCCTCTCTTGCCTGGAAACCAACCCGATTTTACTCATAATTGTTGAGGCAGGGTCCCCCTCTTGGCTAATGTTTGGCTAGAGAATAAAGACTCAAGGTGCTAAGATTTATTAAGGTTTCTGAGCTGACCGAATTAGCAATTTTAAATAGCTATATATAGCAGGGTGATATGGTGAAAATGAGCTAAAAGAAAAACATTTTGCAGAGACAAGTATATACTCTCAAAAAGGTTAAAAATATTCAATTGGTGAAAAAAATAACTACTTGTAAAAACGTGTGTATTTTCATTATGCTTAATTTGCCATTCAAACAAGTTTTTCTTAATAAGCTCTATTGTTTCTATCTGTTTTGTGAAATGCAATACGTGTGAGACAGAAAGCAGATTCGGAATGTGAATGAGTCTTGTTTTTTCTTTCTCTCTTTCCTTCTATCTGTAAAAAAGGGGGAGAGGGGAAAGAGAAGAAAAAAAATTAAAAAGAGCTTCTTCAAGACCTTTAACTCAAGAGAAGGAGCGAAGGAAGGGAAGTGGCATGGCTTTGTCATGATCTGAAAAGATGAGACGCGAAATGCTATCTGCTGGTCTTTTCCCGCATCTTAGTTCTGTGCAATGTAAAAGTCTCCGTAAGCAAAACACTCTGTGGCTAATAGTTATGTTTTCGCTCTCAGCAGTGACACAAGCTTTGTCAGGTTTTCGCTGTTTGCATAGTTCATTAAAATACTTTAATCAATGACTCATTGTTTCAAAAAATCGCCACACTACCACCAGAGTAGAAACATCTATATCCTACCAATTCTGCAGTGCCAAAAAGTATAGTCTCTCAGGGCAATAGGTTACGGAGCCTTCATAAAGGTTCTCCATCTGTCATCAAGCGCGACATCAAGCCCTCTAGGTGCTGTGA